TGGCTAGCTTTTAGATAGTTACACACAAAGAGAGTAGGGTGGAAGAAGGATTACCCAGGAGTACAGATTAACAGGCAAAAGCACAAAGTTCATTATCATTCTTAAGTGATTAATTAAAAAAAAAAGCCTCCTGAATCTCAGCATATTGCAAATATAAAGCAATCAACCTGAGGCAGATGGACAGGTTGTTCCATTAGGCTTAACTAGATTGTTTTGTCAGAATTCTAACTTTGTGGTGGCCTTGCCTTTACTCTGCTGAGCGGCGTACTGACTCTTAGGAACTGATTGCTAGGCTTTATGGTCCAGCATGGAGACGGAGGACTTTTGAGCAACTTTCATTTTGAGTAAGGTTTTTTTTTTGGAGGGTGGTAGTGGTGGTACCATGTTTTTTAAGCAGATTTCCAGTGCAGCAACTTTCATTTTCCACTCAGGGCCACTAACAGCCTTTTCTAAATCACTCTTGCTCAACTGGAGGAGACCTGCACACAAGATGATAGGAAGAAAGAGAAGTTCATTGCTTAAGTCTTAAGTACAGACTAAAAGCCGACACAATACGCATCATGGAAGGACCGTTTGATGCTCCTCTTGTGGTATTGCATCTCTACACAGAGGCTCCTTTGCCAATAGTTCTCCTTTTAAAGGCTGATACAGTTTAAGAGGCTATGGATTTTGGAGAGAAAATACTGTTGACTAAGGATATAGTACTTGACTCCAAAATACATGAATAGAACTATAACAAAAAGAGGCACAAGAGCAGCGAATTGCAGTTTACATGGATTTAACTGCTGGCCAACTCCTGTTTGTACGGGCACCCACTACTATGGAGAAAAACTACTAATATCCTTCAACTCCAGACATGACTTCATATCCTAAGGCATGCGCCATCTAACTGTACCTTGCAAAGCCAGAATGATCACTCATGCTCTCATAGACACCAAGAAAAAGCTACAGCCACCCTGAAGCTTCTATCTACAACTGGTTTGGCCCCGATGAATGCCTGGACCACAGATTGGATCGTGGAACTGGAGCAAAGAGGACGTAACATAGCATGAAATTTGTGAGCTCTGGCTGTGCAGGAGAAGCAATGCTTCAGTGCTGCCAGTTACGAGAAAAGAGTCATCCATATTGATTCATTCATATTCATCAGTTTTTGTTACTGTTCCTGATGGGACTTGTTGGGTACATGCACTTCATTTTTATTGCTACTGGCAGTGATGTGACCCACTGCACTTCATTTATTAGGGGTACAGAGAGTTTGTCCTCCATGTTGCCCAAGGAACCAGAACAGACTTTCCTCATTATCCACGCAAAGGGGGGAGAATAGGCATCTTGAACTGACCCTTAAAAAGTCCTTGTGTTAGTTTTTACTTCACAAATGTTCAACTTGCACTCAGCAGGCACTTTGTCTTCACTTCTGTGCTTTCGGTATTTTTAAATTTAAGAACAGCACTACTATAAATAATTAATTAAGGGCCAATTAATTATGAGACTAATGCTGACATCTTGGGTTCACACAAGCATCTCCCTTTTCCTTCTGATTGTTGCAGACTTTCTTGCCCAGTAAAAAACTCACCGAGCCTTGGTACAGGAGTCTCAAGAAGGATGAGCAATCTGAGGGAATTCCCTTTATTCTACAGATCTTTTCCCCATTTGGTCAGTACAGTGTCACAAATGATTCAGATAAAAGCAGTAACTGACTAACTATTGACCTTTGCTGAAATTATCTTTTTTCTTTCTTTCTTTCTTTTTTTCTCTCAAGTACAGCTAAGAGAGCAATATATGAAATCTACCAGAGCTGAACTGCAATAGAACAGGAAAGCTACAGTTTTGCCTCACCACTTGAAGCACAGGCACAAAAGAGGTACTGTGCGATGGAGTAACATAAAAATATTGTCATGCCTGCCACTGCAGTGGGAACTCCAAAAGCTGGGGAGCTGCAGAGAGAGGATGTCCAATTTTAGGAGGCCACTCCAGTGTAAGATACATCTGGTAAAGTGGACGGAGACTGCATGGGTCAGAGTTCCAATTCCAACCTTTTATGTTGTAGGTTAAAAAACTGCAAGCTGCAGTGGGGAATATGGATCACGGAACACAAAACCACAAGCAACAGAAAACTAAGAACACATACGCGCTTGACCTCAGCACTGCTGCCTGTAAGCTGTTCTCAAACCAACAAAAACATTTCAGCGGCTGGAAAAGATGAACAGCCCTGGTTGCCAAGTCATAGCCCAAACTAATCCAGGGGGCAGAAAAGACAGCTGGACTGCTGGTAAAGAACAAGGCTATTTAAGGAGACTCATTCTGGCCTAATGGAAAATGCAAGGATATAATTATCAATTATTTTAAACTAAAACAACATTTCAGATCCAGGAAAAAGAACATCACAAGGAGGCAGAAGAGAGAAGCTGGTTAGATTCAGCTGGCAGTTCAATCCAGGTACAAAAAGAGCAGAATATGCTGCTCTTTAGGAGGAAGAAAATAAGGTGTTTCCCAAAAGATGGTGATTCTGGCCAGTGCTTCAACCTACAAAGCAAACTCTGAATGCAGCTGCAGTGTTGTTCCAAGCACTGACACAAAGCTGATCTGATCACAGGGGCTTGGGTTATCACAAAGCAGCCCCAAAAGCAGTTAGTGGAACACAGCTAAAGAAATTATTTTTAAATATATATATGGCAATATGTTTATATCTCCAAGTCATACCAATGATCTGCTTTCTCTTTCAGCCCTCTGGGCAGCTGCTCCTTGTGTGCTGCACAGTGTTCCATATTAAGAATTCCTATGCAAAATTCTGGCTGTCACCCAGGATGCACAAACACAGAACAAACACACAAAACCAAATAAACAACACTCCCAGAGTCTCTGTGAGAAGCACCCAATACACAACTGTCAAGGGGGACTCAGAGCCCTTGAGCATGACCATCAAGTGCAGCCTGTGCTGCAAAAAAACACCAGTTACCGAACTTATCACCATTCTTTTACCACTGTCTTAGTCACAGATTGTTAACAGACTCAGACTTCTGAATGGCTTCCCCATCAGATTCTCGGAAGTCACATTTAACATGATTTGTAACGAGGGAAAGCAGCATAATTTTGGTTTGTTTTTCTTTAACAGGAATGCTCCGTTCAGAGCACCATGCCTGTTACAAAAAAGGGCCAAAACTTTGCTTTAGAATTCAGTCAGAAGTGCAGGTTTAAAAGAATTCTCAGCATATTTATGTCACGTTCCTTAACACTTCCTCTGCTAGCAGTTAGCTATTACAGCATACAGCTCTATAAATACATGTGACAGCCCAATACTTGAATGTCATAGTTTATGACAGAACTTTTACAAGAACATTCCCCAGGACTTCCCAAAATTAACAACTCTGAACAGCTTTTTGTAATTCCTGTTCAGGACTGAAGCAGATTAAATCTTTTAGAGATTTAAATATACATGCACCAAAGAACATCTTGTTTACACAGTATTACAGTCTGCACTACAAAGCTGTGAAACAACCGTGGTGCTTATTCACATCACAGGATGTATTACTTTCTGGCTTCTAACAAACCAGCAGTACTTGATTTTGAAGGCCAGAACATCCTTCTGTCGAATCTCCTGGGTCAAACACAAGTGGATGAGGCAGGGAGGGGTTCCAAGATACAGCATAGGAAATCCAGCAGGTATAAACTGGATCTGGAAATGAAGTTGGTGATCTAACATGCTGCTGACATAGCAGCTCAGATGTTAGAGAAAAAGTAAATCATGATTCCTGGCTCTCTGTGTCAGTGGAGGTGCTACAGAGTATTTTACAGTAACCCTCAGGTCCCAATCAGATTTTCAACTGAATAGTTTTATTCAGCCTCATAAACTCCCACCAAAACTTTGCTGGACATAACATTCTGCCCATCTATTCCCACAGCACTATACAGTCAGCTCTGTGCCTCTAGCCTGGCTGCATATATTAAAGAAGCTTGGGGTTAGGACTGTGGTGTATCAGAGCCAAGGTCTCCACTAAGAGAATCGGGGCATTTAAAGTGACTGCACAGCCCAGGCAATATTCCTGTGATGGGTGACTGACTGCTACAGGACATCTTGGGTCCATGCCTAGCCACCCTGTCAGAATGGCTTGGTGGACAAGGCAGGACTGAGTATTCATTCACACTTGGCATTTGTAGATGGCAAAAATGTTTCCACCAATTGGATTTTATTGAGTGAGTCCATCTCCAGGGGTGACATATAAAACCAGAAAAAAATCTGACTCTGTCGAGGCATGTTACAATTGCCAATGGATAGAGAAATGCCTTTGCTGGCAGTCCTAGGCAGCTGCTTTTAAAATTTAAAGATGTCTATAGGTATAAAATACAGGTGGCATTTCCAGAAAACCCAACTGGAAATCCTAGGGAGAAAAACATAGTTTTATCTTAAATGCCTAAAATTACAGATGACCAATACCAATTCAGTGGGCTTGGGGAGCTAATTGATTCCTACCTAGGTGGGACAAACAGTTCTTGAGATCACTGAACACTGTGTGTAGTTTTACTTTTCAGCTGTGGAAGGATTTGCTCTGACACTTTAGGTCACCCTGAGGGTCTCTGTGTGCAGACACAGGGAGAACTGGGGAGCAAAAGTCTTACTGCTGCCTTGGTGTTAGAAACACTCAGAAGTGACACTGCTGTGTTGTTGGCTAGCAGCTGCACAGAGTATTGGTGAGCCCCACAGTCCTGCAGTCTCTCACCCGTCTCAACTTCTGTTTTGGCAGCATTAGCACAATTCAATTAGGATACATGAGGATTGGATCAAATCTGAGAGGAGAGTTCAGTTAGGCCTAAGGAAGTTGATGCCAAGCAGAGAAACGACGAAAGCCATCATGCACATGACGCACAACACCAGAATGTCCAGTTTTGTGTAGTTCAGCCCAGGAATTGTTGACCTTCATATAATTCAATGCATAAGGTGTGTCGCATGCCCCAGGATGAAACTAAGGCTAAAGGCTACTGTCATCACAGGCACTTTAACTTACCCATGAAGAAATACTCCGGAGACTTTTTGTCTGAAGCAAAGTCTGCCATAACCCCACCAAACCGCAGCCACAGACCAAAGGCAATGACAGCCAGTCCTGCCAGCTGGAAGATAAACAGACCAGTCAATACTTTAGTAACAGTTAGCCGGAGAGTGTCAAACGGTGTCATGGGCACCCTGTGCTTTCTTGAAGTCCCACAGCTCAGGATTACACTGTCAGAAAATTCAGGAAGTGCTTGCCAGTGTTTGAAAACAATTAATTCCTATTATAGTGCAATGTATTTCTTTCTTTCAACTCTTCAGTGTAGTGTTGCTTCTGAACTTACTAGTCCCTTTCAAACCTTGGAAGTAAGCTCATTTAATCATCAAAACTTTGGCCTGATTGCAGTGGGGAGTGGAGCGGGGTGTGGGGGTTGTGGTGGGGAAGTGAGCGCCTGTGCAAAGACAGGCTGCAAAACCCGTGAAGAGCACTCTGCTCTCCTTCCTACCCCTCCAAACCCACTGCAGCCAGGCGGTTTGCAAGAGGCCATGCAGGGCCTGGGCCTGGGGTCAAGATGCTGTTGCTGTAGGAAAAGCACCTTATGGGGAAGTGCCATGTGAGCAGGAGTTAAGCCCCGCTGGCTCGACACACTCCCCAAACTTTTAGGACAGAAGTAACCTAATTGACGACTTTTCCAACCCTCCTAGCTGTTTTAGGGCTAAATAACAGCCTTTGGGGCTGAGAGGTGCCCCCTTTCCCTGTATGTATCACATGTCCAGCTCCAGTGTCATGGGATATATGGTGCTGTAGAGAGATCAGCCGGACCTCTAAATCATGATCCCAAACCACAGGAGACTATCTGCCATTTCAGAATTGCTGCTGCTGCTCCATTGTAAGAAGGGTTCTGTTTAGAGCCTTACCAGAAAGAGAGGCTTGTATTGTTCTTAGGGATGTGCTGAAGTTAAGCATGTTTGGACCAATTATGACAGGGCATTTTTCTCTAAATCACCATGGGGTCCCCTACCAGAACTAGGAGAGAAAAGGATTATTACAGTGTACAGTATCTTGGGTAACAGAAATGACTAAGAAACAAGTGATGGATGCTGTCAAATGCAAGGAAAAATTCCCTTAAATGTGAACAAGATTAGATCAAAAAGAAGTGTCGAGGCGTGTTGTTTGAGGGGAAAGGTCTATAGACAGTGGTCTCAGACCCACCGCATGCCAGACCCATTTACAAGCCCACCAGGCAATAGTGTGTGTCCTGGCAGACAGCTTCAGCATCCTGCAGGACCAGGCACAACACTCCGCTACCTGTCTGATGGAGGCCCAGAGCCTCGGTCCACAGCACTGCGCAACCTGCGCACAGTTCACGCACCACCAGCTGCTCACCGTGCCCTTGGAAGCCTGGCGTTGGGTGCTTTCAATCTGTGCTGTGTTGCTTGATTCATCTGACATAGCTACAGCAAGCAAAGTAAGCTGGCAAGGACATGGCTGAAGAGCGTGGGACCACAGCACTCCTCAGAGAAAAATGTCACAGCGCAGAGTGCGAGTGTCCCCTGCCACCCCAGTCACAGCATTTGGCCCTCCCCGCTCGCAGGCAGGGGCTCAGCCTTCCGACTGCGGAGCACACCTGCAGCCCCTCCCCCCCCCGAGTGCGGGCTCCTAAAGTGCCTCTGGTAGTTGGGATGTGTTTGGTGAAATGACTGTCCCCCAGTCCAGCTGAGGAGATGGTTTCTTCCACCTCAGTGAAAAGGCAGATAATTGTCACTTTTGTGAAACAACATAAGGCAAAGCTTTGTCCTTCTCCTGAGCTGCAGCTGCAGCTGGGCAGCATCACTGCTCCTACAGCTTGAGCACAGCAGCACTGTGTACCCGGAGCTCGCAGCGCTGTCACCATGAGGGCAAAGCATTTGGTTTAACTGTGTTTCAGTCATAAAGGAGACAAAAGCCCAAAACTGCTTGTGCTGGAGAGGCTGAACAGGATTATTTTGTGACTTTTAAAAAAGCAGTGAATCAGAAAGAAAGAAAAAGACACTTAAGAAAGATAACATTGCTAATTGTTTTCCAGTGTGAAATACTGGAAAGCTACTGGAGGGGAGAACACAGCATCAGGGAAGGTGAAGGAAAAAAGAAAGCTCGAACTCAGTTGTGCTACAGAACTGTGCATGTTAGAAAGGTGCAATGAGGGGAGAATGGGCACAGCACTCTCCAGATCTCCGGAGGGCTCTGCAGTAGACACTACCCGTTGCCACGTTAGGGTTGCTTTCAGCAAAACGCAACATGATGGAAGGACTTTCTCTTAGGATGCACTTGTAAAAGCAGCAGCTGTTGTTCACTATTTAAAATTACATTATTAAAGAGCATCGTGATGCTGTGAAGAAGTGTTCCGCTGCAACAGGCTGTGTGGGATGCTGGGAGAACCTCTCCCAGCCTTACGCTGTTTGAAATGTTATGCTTGTTGGGGAAATGGTCACTACTTTAAATCACCGGCCAAGAGCGATGTTGTCTGTTCTCAGCAATGTCCTCTTACATCGAGTACGCGTTTTCCCAGGAAGAGCTCTGTGGTCCCCGACGCGAGGCATACCTGGCAGCGCGGGCAGGGCGCTCTGGCACCGGGGTCTGGGGGACCCCCCCCTGCACCGCCCCTCCGGGGACCCCCCGCCCGCGCCC